AGGAATGCCAATTTGTCTGCATCTTCTACAGTTCCACCACTAAGAAAAACTGACATATGCCATTACTAATTTTAAGTTGGAGGGAAGGGGAGGAACACACTTCACAACAGAAAATTCATTACCTTTTCAGATTCACCATTGCCCATGGTATACCCGTAGGTGTGTTGAAGGCTGGAAGGAGTTTTCCTGCCAGTTGCACTGCTTTGATCTTGAAAACCTAAGATAGTAGGATCAATTACAAATAGTTACAAAGTCTGATTTACCTCCAAGAACTATAAAGACTGAAATCTCCTTGCCTCACCCACCTCTTTGTATTAGAAAAGCTTTACACTGTAAAAAATACATTAACTTATCATTTATTTTTCACTTGTTCACTTCATAAATTTCATTAAGATTTGAACATGAAAAGAAAACTTGTCATTTTCATTTCTTTCCTTCCATGCTCTCCAGCAATAGTGCTTAGGTTCCTATTAAAGAAGAACATCAATTCTCCTCCCACCTCCCTCCACCAATATTAGGAATTTCAAGTGCCTTCTAAAGCAGTCTTTAAATCATACTTTATATTTTGTAGCTAAAAATCAAGGCAGACCTCCCCCAACACCAGTATTTTAACTTTTACAAACTTCCAATCTCTTTTTAACGAGATATATATATCTAGTGCAGAGTTCCTGTACTTTTATGAACATTGTCTATGCAAAACCATATATATGCAGTTTCCTGTAGCTTTTCTTTCATTGATAATGCATGAGAAAAATAATTATAGGCTTTATCTTCCCTCTCGAGTCTGATTACTCATAAAAATTACTGATGGGATGAAATTGCTTTCATTTCTAGTGTTGTTCCTACGTACTTTTGGAACTTAAATCTGTAATAGCCTTACTCAGAGCCTAACGTTTATTAGTTAAACGAGCTATTGGGAGAAAGTTCCTTCTAAGCCTATAGGAAGAACCTTTTCCAAAGAAGGCATATTTGGTAGATGCCCATGACGTAAAACTGTTTTTACCAACTAGTTGCTAACATACATTTTACTTAATGCATTGTTAGTATTCACTACATTTCTGCAGAAGTATCTTCTTAATTTGGAGATAACATTATTCATCAGTTTGAAGCACTGTACAAACATGTAAGAAAAAGAGCTACCATGCCCCAAAATAACTTATGGAACACAGACTTACTATAGAAACATTCTCTCTCTGGTGACCAGCAATAGGACACAAGGAAATGGAATGAAGCTGTGTCAGGGGAAGTTCGGATGAGACGTTAGGAAAAGGTTCTTCACTGAGAGGGTAGTCGCAGCACCAAGACTGTCAAAGTTCAAGGAGTATTTGGATGATGCATTTAGTCATATGGTTTAGTTTTAGGTAGTCCTGCGAGGAGCAAGGAGTTGGACTCAGTGATCCTTATGGGTCCATTCCAACCCGAGATACTCTATGATTATATTGTTATCAACTACCTGACCAATACTTTGTAATTGAGAAGAGTAAGAGCTTTAAGGAGGACTACAGGACAGTTCTGTTGGATTTATAAAAAGGATTTCTCCCTTTTGTAAAGTCTATGGGAGGAAAACAGAAGAGATACTCACTGGAGAAGCAAGATGAAAAGTAGCTAAAAAATAAGCAATCAAGAACGTTCTCATTTTTCATATGAGGGTAGAAAAAGATCAATATCTTAATATTTGAGGAGATGACTAGTGTGAAATGAAATAAACCAGAGAAGAATATTAAAGATGACATCTAATTGTATTTGATGCAGTGGTGTATGGAGAGATGGAAGTGGATCTGAAAGCAATAAACCAGGAAAAAAATTTTTACTGAGGTACTCTAAATGAATTGTAAGATGGGATATGTCTAAACTGAAAAAGAGGATACCTCAGAATATGATTTGATAGAACTGTGAAGTAACAGAGGCAATAAGGCTTGAATGATTTTTAGCAAAGATACTGACAAGAGATAGTCTGAGAAAATATGCAGAAATTTAGCAGTAAAATGCAGACAACACTCTGACCTTGAATAAAGGACCAAGTCAAAATAAAAAGGCATACTGTAGGTAAGAGATATAATACATGTGGAATCTATGGTAACAGGGGAAAAAGAAACCCTGGAGAGAATTAAAAGGTCTGTCTTGGCCCATTTACATATAAACTACCTGATTTGCATCTATAAATATGTGTAAAAAATTCATGCTGAACTTTTAGATTTTTAAGTAGTAGATGGGTCAAGACCAGACAGACCTATCTATAGGTACTCATCTAAAGGGAGTTGCTCTACAGTGCAGACAAGCTTCAACACTTAATCCAGAACAGAATGATGATTTCCAGTTAAATATTACATAGTTTAGAAAGACATTTGCGGCATGAATTTGTTTAGCTTCAGGTTTTGGATCCCGCACCTTCTGAAAGCACTATGTATTATTGTATCTTTCATTAATAGAAGATATTGAAACATTAGGGTAAGACTATTCAATAGGAGAACATCCCTAGAAACATCCTTGCTAGAAGAATATTCTTAATGGCTAACTACTTATGTACCAGTATTCAGCTTTTAATCAATTTGAAATGTACTACGATATTTGGGGAAGACGCTATAGTATTTGAAGCAGTTTTCAGTAAGACTGTATGAAGTAAAGGTTGAGCTGATCTAAATGGGCATGCATCTACACAAGGACAGCTAAAGCAAGGCAATCACTGTGTGAGACATTTCAACATGTCAGCAAACCAGAAACTGTCAGCAGTAACTGCTAGCTCAGACAGCCATGTTAGCGGTACCTGCAAAAACTCGCTGTGATTAGAGGCATGCTCCTGTCACCTCTGTTGGGCTGAGGACTCTACTTACCACTGATTTAGCATCAGAAGGCAAAACTCTACCTCTCTATATCCCTCTTATCCAAGCCTGAATGCAAGGAAACACTTAAATGGGCTGAAGACATGCCTTTACTTCCTATGAGTGCTATCTCAGTCCTATCTCACTGATGCTTCTGGATAACAAAATCACCTAGTGCTTGATATGGTGTTTACCTACGCAGACTGGAGTGAGAACTGGGAGACAGCTGCATAGGTTTTTATCAGAGCAAAATGACCAGAAGAGCATAGTTGGAGAGCTGTTGGGAAAAGAAAGAAATCTCCAAGCAGTGGTGGATGAGATGCCTTTTATTGGAGACTGCAGATGTGACCAGAGGGCTCTCCTGAGCTCATTACGTGACTTCTTTTAGTAAGTTTCAGATTTACCATGAGAGCAACAGTAAATGCCTTAGGCTCTAATAACGTGCTGGCATCAGACAACATGGTTATTTCTCATACACTAAGTATTTTTACTTTTATTTTTTTTTAAAACAGGTTGAACTGATAGATTCTATTTCAGCCTTGGCAGTTCCCTGTTGACAGGCAATGCATTTCAAGAAACATATAAGCAAGAAGAACAACAAAAAAAAATACGAACGGATGCCTTGAAAACAGAGCTCATTAGGAAACAGTAAAAGAATCTGGGTTATTCAGTGCAGAAAAAAGATGTTCAAGAGAGGACAAGATAATGACTTTTCAGTATATAAAAGGCTAATACAAGGAAAATGAAATAATATTTTTTTCCACGGACACGGAGAATACAATGTAACACCAAAATAGAGCAAGGGAAAGTAAGTTAGCTATTAGGAAAAAGTTGGTGATAAGGATAACTAATAATGAAGTATGACTGTGATTGCTGCAGAGTCATCACTACAGCTTTTAAAAACGCACTGTACAATACATGCAACTATGAAGACTGACATGATTTGACTCAGAGGGAACACAAGAATAACTGAGAACTACACAGCTTCCTTACTGTTCTTCCAGCCACATTACTGCACTGACTTTGCATGGCAAGGTTTTGGCAGACAGAGGGCTACAGGGGTGGCTTCTGTGAGAAGCTGCCAGAAGCTTCCCGCATGTCCGATGGAGCCAACGCCAGGCGGCTCCAAGAGGGACCTGACACTGGTCAAGGCTGAGCCCATCAGCGATGGGGGTAGTGCTTCTGGGACAACAGAGTTAAGAAGCAGGGGAAAAAAACCTGCTGGACAACGGCAGCTGTGAGAGAGAGGAGTGAGAATGT